GCAGGGCGGGCGGGTGGGGCAGAGACCCGCGCCACGAGCGCAACCCCGCTGCTCAGCCCTGGGCCCTCGTGTCCACTACCTGCACACGCACCGTTAGCCCCGCACCGTGGGATTCACCTGGTCTGACACTAATACCCAGGTATCTGGAGCTACTGTGCAGACGAGGAATTTGGGTTTCCAGGGAAAGGAGCTGGTAAGGGAAGCAACACCCCTCCCCCAGCCAGTCGGCACTGTGCTGAGTCCACAGAGCTCCACGTTCAGCGCTGGTGCCGTGGGCGGGGGTCTTGCCGGCCCCCTGTTATTGCCCAGAGCGTGCTAGGCGCCGCCGGTGCCAGGACGGGGGCGTGCAAGTCCCAGGAAAAGACTAGGGCGCCAGACCGCAGTGGACAGGCCCTTAGGCCGGTGGTCAACGGCGGAGCCAGGAGAGAAGGACCAGGGCAGCCTGAGCCCCCACCCAGTGTCCGCGCAGCTACCTCTTCGGGCCCAGAAATAGCTTTGGGAAGCAGGAGCGGAGAATGCAGACCACAGACGGCAGCAGCCTAAGGCGCAAAGGGTGGCTGAGGGCAGGACACCGCGCTGCGCGCTGGAGGCCGCCCTCCCCGGACGGCAGAAGGCGGGAGCAGCCCCGCAGCCTTCTCCGGACCTGCGACCTCTCCTCCAGTCCCGCAGCTTCCGCACTGGCTTGCCGCCAGCCCGGCCCCGCATCACTGTTGGCTGCACCAGGAAACATTGTGTGTTCACACCTACGACGCTTACTTATTTGTAACAAATCGTACAAAGCACGTAAAAATAAAAAATTTTTAAAGGGCGATCTAAAAGTAGACCTGGGTTTCCCTGGGCATCTCAGCGGGGGTCTCTGGTCTCCACGGCTGCGCCGCCCCGGAGGCAGCCAGCGCCCCCGGTGGGCGGTCCCACCGCCACTCCCACGTTCTCCACACGCCGGGCCTGCCCTGCCCCTTCCCCACCGCCTAACGGGGAAGGTGCTCTTCCCGGCCCAACCCGCGCTCACTACCCGGAGCTGAGTCCGCAGCTCCACCGCCCTGCCCCGCGCTGCCGGCACCTCCGGTCACTCTAGAAGGGTCCGGGGACCCGCTGGAG